CAAGGGAAAAAATGTTGGGGAAAGGGGTGACGAAAAAAAAAAAAAAAAAAAAAAAAAAAAAAAAAAAACCTTAAATAAAATAAAAGCACAAACAGTAGCTGCCACATTAATGCAACCATGCTTAGCTAGAAATACATTACTGTACCACTCGCTCTTTAAATATACTGCATGTTGTTTTTTTTTAACCTAGAAATCCAATGCTATAGTGAAAGACACCTGAATATTATGCATACCCATTACGTTCAACTGACCTAAGGGAGAGAAGGAGAAGAAACAAAGCAAACAAGAGGATTTTAATTCAGAAATACTGACAAAAGTAGTGGTTGGTTAAATAATCCTAATGTAGAGGAACATTGCTGCTGTCGCAAGAAAATCCTGCTTTTTTTTTTCTTTTATTATTATTATTATTATTATTCAGTCTTGCAATCAATTTTAAATATACAGGATCTGGTCACGGTTGAAACTCTTCATCAATATTATCCACAATATATTCAGTGAAATTTTTATTTTCCTCCGACAGCGGCGTTAAGCAATATCATCTTAAGAATTAACCTACTAGTGTACAAACATCTAATTCAAACACTCCACCTTATTGTTTTAATTATGATATAAATTGCTTTTTCTCCTTTTTTTTGCACTACAAAGCCTAAGTACCTGTTACTTAGCATTAAATTATAGTATAGTCAAGTTTTTTTTTCCTTTATCTTATGTTGTGCAATAATTCCTTGCAATGTTATTCAATACCCACAAAAGTTCTGATATGTTCTTAACTTCTTTGCAGTATTACTTATTGAACGTTGGCAGCGCGAGCAGCCTCGACTCCCTATTATCACGATTTTTTATTTATTTTTTTTTTAAAAACAAACTCACAAAGGCTGTCAACAGATGGAGGCGCCCGCTCTTAATTTATTGCAATAATCAAACCACTTCATCCACACGCCAGCAGTAAATGCTTCCTGTAATACCGACCTGCACTGTACAGATCTCAGAGTTAGGATGGATCTCAGAGTTGGGCATGGGCCGGCACAAGATCCTGATTGTATGATAACCTCGAGTTTTAAAAAAAAAAAAAAAAAAAAAAAAAAAGAAGAAAAGTTTCTCAATTTCGACAAAAACGTGAAACTACAACACAATGTCATTGCTTTCATTTAAAATACGTCGCAAGTTATTTCTTCTGCTATTAAAATTACATATCGATTACTAGATTTATAAACTTTTAATGCTCACAAACCGAGTTGAGAGCAGCTATATTTGAGGAAATGCTTTCAAGTGCTTGCAACATGAAATATTCAAAATAGGGCTACACAAAATAGCGAACTGAAACATTTGGCATGTGCCGATGTTTCAAAACTGTTGCCAATCCTATATGGGCAGCTGGATACATTTTTGCCACCTTTTATGCCCACACCTGATACAAATCTCACATAAAATGTTATTTAGTTGCAAATCATTATCATCCTAATGCTTAACTTTAATGTTGCAATTTAATCTTTTCACTAAATTGTGCAGCCGTGTTCTAAAAATATTCCTAACTGGCCAACTTTGTCATTTTGTAATCAAGACAGCCTATGAAATGTAGCAGGTTCCTTTTAGCCAGCTGGCTAGCAGTGCACAGCCATAGCTGAGGAAGGGGCTCCATGCAATCAGAGAAAAAAATCCTTGGGCACACTGCCACTTTCTCTTGCATCTCAGTAAAAAAACAAACAAAAAAACAAAAAAAAAACCTTGAAACATTACGAACGGTACGACAGGAAACTTTAGCGGTTTCAAACACCGGTTACACCTGGATGCAGGTGTAACCGGTGTTTAACCTGCAGTTATGCAAATATCTGCAGATATCTGCATAACTTCTGTCAGAGTGATGACATCTAAAATGACCTGAATTTATCTTACAAGTGAACACTAGCATCTAGCCTAAGCCTAGATGCTAGTGGGATTTATTTTCCTCAGAGTAAATCCTAAACAAACAAAGAAAAAAAAAGCCACTGGGCCTTATCCAAGTATTAAACCCCCACAATCGGTCTTTAACCTTCTACACAAATCTTCCCCAGACGAGGACAAACGAGGAAGAAACAAAATTCACAACAGCATTTGAGTTGGTGTGTCGCGTTTCCTGTTAGACCTACAAAAGTCCCCCCCTCCCAACCCCCACCTGTCATTCAGCAGCAGTGGATGACGCTGAAGTGCATTCGCTTTATTGGGCCTTCATTAAATTTGCCTCAGCTGTCGTGTGTTTGTTTATTAGTCCTCGCCTGGGAAGTTGAAGGAGATGGCACGACCACAGCCAGAAGAGAAGACAGAAAATCGATGTAGAATACAAAAATAGCCACAATGTGCCGTCCGCCTTTAAAGGAGAAACGTCACACACTTAAATGTCTTGTACTTTGAAATTCTTCGCCTGCCTTTCAATGTGTTTCCCCCCCCCCCCCCCACCCACAATCTCTTTAAACTCATTCTGTGCTGGCAGTACCTGCCAGATAGCCATGTTTCTTTTTGTGTGTTTTACAACTGGAGGTACTGTCCAGTAAGTGCCACTACGTGTGAGTGTGTTTAAGTGTAATCCCCAAAAAACCCCTAAATTAGTTTAAATGCAAAAACCCACAGGCCAAAGAGTCACTGTTGTGACCCAAACTAGATAGGTTAACATTCCAATAGTGTCCCAACAAACCAGCCTGCATAGAGTCTAGCATGAAGTCGGCGAATCTTTTTCGTTAGTGTGTACTAGGTACAGCGTAAATGCGAAAACACGACGGGTCGTGATCTGTAAGTGCTCACAGCACCGACGAATGTGGCAGAAGGGATGACGGACACACAGCTACTACGTGTTGGAAGACAAGTGAGATCGGACTGAGAATCAAACAATCAGGAAAAAATAGGGATGAAGAGGAAGGCAGGAAAAAATAAAAAGGCAAAGCAATTGAGGTTGGTAGTATAAAGGACATTTAAAAATATTATTACCCCCTTAAAAGCAGGAAGAAAAAAATTATCTGATGATGTTAAAACCCTGTGCTGATATCTAGTTGTTAGAAAATTTGGCAGCATTAGTCAATAGTCTTTGATGATGATGATGATGCCCAATATTTTCCAGCAAAGTGAGCAGCGGCGGCGGCGGCAGCAGGCGGGGAGCACACACACCAGCACAACACAAAAACAGGAGCGACCGACCGACACCTGCGATTGGTCGAGAGTCCTTTCTGGAGTTCCAATGAAAGACGCGGCAAAAAAACATCAAAATAAAATAAAAAAATAAAAATAGAGGAATTAAAACTAAACAATCGAGAGGAAATAAAATAAGACCGTAATGACTGGTTGGCAAATAAACAGAAGAGAGAATAATAAAAACAAAAGCAGCCTTTGTAAAAACATTAGAGAATGTCGCATAATAATAATAATAATAATAATAATAGTAGTAAAGTGGCTGTTGCACTTTAGTTTTGTTCTTGCAGACAGGTGCCGAGTTCTTGTGGTTACCGCTGGGAGCTCGTGTAACATTTGAGCAGTTGCATACGATGGTGGACTCCAGATCTGGTGGCGTGAGCAGAGAAGAGCAGCATGGGTTAACGCCAAGCTGCAGAGTTTGGGGGGGCAGTAAACGGCAGGAGAAGAGGAGGCGGAGGGATTCTCTCTGTGGATACTCACATGATGGGTGGGCTCTACCAGTGAGGCGGTACGTAGCTGTAACCGGGGGTCCCTTGGGGCCTGTAGGTTGGCACAGTAACTGGGTGTGCTCCAATTGGTGGGTGCTGGGGCGTTGTCAGCAGAGTCCCTACGCACATTTAACACCAGCATTAATGTGAAAGAAGCTCCTCTCTCATACACGGCTGCTGGGAGTTTCAGTGAAAACAGGAACTAATAGCTCTGAGCCAGGAGAGCTGCAATCCAATGAACGTCCGACTTTAGATTTTTACTGGAATACAATTAGAAACACGCACTACTTTGACTTGTTTCAACACATAAAAATGCAATAGAAAACTTTAAAGTTTGTGGTTGCAAAGTGACAAAATGTGCAAAAAGCATAAGGGAGATTAATGGTTTCACAAGGAATAGTAGCTGACAGTTGCAGGGTCTCGCTTTGTGCACATTCTGGAGGGAGTATTGGTCCTACCTGCGCTCATGGCCATGGTTGTCCCGGCTACCATCCCCATGGTAGGCATGCCGTTGTTGCGGGGGGCAGGAACAGGGACTGGGGCAGGGTAGAGGGCTGTGGAGGGGATGCTGTTGGGCTGCACCACAGTGGTGTGATGGATCACATGTGGCTGGGCCGCGTATACTGGTTGGGTGTAGTATGCTCCCTGTCAAAGAAAACAAGTTAAAAGAGCTCTTAGTGAGGCTAGCGACGGGGGTGGGGGGTTGGGGCTGCCACATGTACAGCATGGAAGAATTATAACAGTATTAAAGTGCTTCATCACAGCTCTGAAGGCAACGTTTTTTTTACTTGGGACTTTGAAACTAAACGTTAAATAAATATCCGTGTAATGTGAAAGCCAGAGCATGATGAAAGTGATATGAACAGAGATAAATGGCTGAATAAATCCAGTCGCATTTAAAGAACACATTCTGTAAATCCCCTAAAACAAGAAAAACGAATCGGGAGACGCTCTAAATCTCCTCCGACAGTTTGTTTTAACGTCGAGATTTGGAAAACGTCTCGTTCCCGAGCCATTGCACAGACTGCACGGCATTTGGTTTGCAAGTTTGGCAAAAATGCTTCAACAAATTGTTTTTTAATAGACAGAGAATCGATGTTGCCAGCAAGGAAAAACAAACGTTAAATGGCGGAGGCAGCCAAACGGGTGGGACAGCAAACGCAGAGGCATTTCCAAGGCAATGTCATCTGCGATGTCCTTACCTGTGCGTAAATGTTCTGCTGAGGGTAGGCACTGCGGATGGGGTACATAGCTGTGGGGTATGGGGTGGGAGTTGGGGTGTAGGGAGGAGGTGCTCCATTTGACTGAGTGGGGGGCACTTTGTATGGGGTTCCCGCTGGGGTGTATCCTGCAAATATCCAGAAAACAGCTTAAATTAATCAAACAAATGCTAAGTAGTTCAAAATGTTATGTATATATATATATATAAAAAAAACACTTTCGATTATTAAAATAAATTAGGAGAATTTCACAAAAACTAAAATGAAAATACAAAACTCAAGCAATTCATACAAGTGTATCAAATTCTGTTTTTATTCCCATGTTTTGGGGGGGGGGGGCGGGGGCAAAACCTGGAAATGTGAAACATCACGCGTGGTTTTGAGATGAATATTTCTGCTTCTATTTTTGCCTTTTCAGTGGAGTCGGAAGCATTTCTCCAGATAAAAAACGGCAACCAACTGCTTATTCAATCCAAGCCGATAAGAGCAATAAAACCTAAAGCAGTAACCGCTGATAAGATGCCGAAACCCTGAGAGGGAGCTAAAAAGGGAAGTGCAGAGTCAGATAATTATACCAGGCTTTTCACTATGAGCCGAGCGTGAATAAAAAAAATAGCTCCTGAAATGAGCCGCTGTTGCCGCTCAGACGCTGCTATAAATCCATTACGCCAAAATAACTTGAGAAAGAAAAAGAATTGTCAAAAGTGGGGGCGGGGGAGAAGTCAAATATTAAACAGTTTTCCTCTAAGAAACTTTGAAAGATGTGTCTCAAGACCATGAGGGATGTCAATTTTGCCACTTTATTATTTGCATTTCCTGTAAAGACCACCAGATGGGGACTGTTTGTGTTTAAAGAAGAGTTCAGCCTCGTAATCAGCATAGAAATACCCATATATCAAAAAAAGAAAAAAAAAGAAAAGAAAAAAAATCTGATTTAGCAGGCTTAAACTGGAGCTTTGAATCAAAACCTTCTTTTAGCGTGCAGGGAAAGAGGAAAGAAGCTGTGTAATCAGTGACTATGGGCCAAATTTAAGACATCACTTTTATTGCAGGGAAACATGGTAGGCATTAAATAATTTAGCAGAGAATCCTCACTTCACAAAGATTACATCACTATTTGAAAGATGGTATTAGTCTCATTGGGCTGCGTTCTTATGTAGACTGCTCTGAGGGGGTGCAGTACCTCTGAGCAGCCACAGGATGGAGCCTGAAGGTCAAACATGCTACTAGCTAGCTGCTGCATAGCTTATGAAAAGCCCTTCTCTTACACAAGGACAAGGGAACAAAGAGATGCTGGAGCTGTTCTCGCTACCGGTGATTGTATGCTGGAGCGTGTGTGTATGTACGTGTGTGTGTGCATGCTTTCACGGTCAAACTCTGCTCTGATGTCCACGCAGGGCATTAAGAGACCATGGTGAGAGACAGCCGCACAACAGAAGCGCAGACAGAAAAAAAAAAAAAACAAACAAACAAAAAAAAAAAAAAAAAAAACGGGCCGTCAATGGTCTTGATGAATAACGACCGAAGACGTGTTTTCAATCAGACCACAACTGGTTTTATCTTGCGAATCATTCATGTTGAGGGGGAAAGAAAATGAACTATTTTAATCCCCTCATAAATCAAGCCCAGCAGAAAGGAGTCGGCAATCAGACGACGCAGCCACAACAGAAAGGCTCAGGTTTCTGTAAGAACAAAAGCAGATCTGATGTTTTGCTCGACTTCCAAAAGATGAACCTAAGCTGAGGCAGAGGAAGAGAGGAGGCAGCTTCAGAAGGAGCAAAGGAGGAGTCTAGAAAACCTGCTCCTTCCTTTGTTACAGACCAAATCAAAGAGGACAGGAAAACACTGGAGGGGAAATGCCGATTTCGTCTTGCTAATGGAATTCAGTTTTGACAAATTCACCAAGTCATTGAGGGACATTCATTTCTTATATGATACGAATATAAATCATTGACCCTTCGCTCTGTTCTCTCTCTCTGTCACCCCCTAATGCTCACATAATTGGGTTTGCTCAGTAATGGAAGAAAAAAAATAATAACCAGACTTCTTATCATTAAAATCCTTACATTTTATGATTACTAATCGAGTCTGGAAATGCACAGCATATTGTATTTAAATGATTATTTTCTAACATCTATGTTTTAACAATGAAGCCATTTGGTTTTTTTTTATGTTTTTATAAACCCAAGAGTCAAATCCCATTGTACATAAATACCATTTGAAAAGGGTAATGTCAATAAAAAGTTAATAGATTTCAGGAACGTTATTCATTTTACACACAGAGGGATTTATTTTATGTTAATTTTGGTTATTAAGACTTACAGTAAACAACCCACAAATCAGTTTCTTAAAATATATCAATATTACAATAAGACCTTTTTTTTTTTTAACAAAGAAATGCTATGCCATGGCTTATATCACTGGCATTTTAGTCACCTCCCAGCTTCATTTCCTCTCAAGTTTATATTTTCTGTTTCGTTACAATTACACTAAAGTTAAATTTTTTCTGTCGTTCGCATTTAAACGCATTGGTGTAATGAGCCAGCCTTACTTGAAAGGCTAAATTAAAAGAAAGGTCAGACATCTGCTTCAAGGTCTCATTGGATATAGAGATTGAAAGAGTAATGCTGTAATCAAAGCCTTCGAGAGATTTTTAACGGTAACGTTAAAATATTTCGGCGTTTATGTTCTGAGACACAGATTGAAGCGATTACAACTGCCCAGAGTTGTTGATCATTTACCCATCTGAAGGTTTAATGGAGCAGACCCGCAGCTGCTTTGTGTGAGGGTGTGCTTATTCTTCCTACGTTACTCATGTCTTTCAATAATTAAAGATCTGTAGATTATTACGAACCTCTGAGTTAGGAGGTTCCCTGTTCTTAAAGGGGCAATGTAATGTGTTTTCCAGGCACACGCCATTTTATAGCATAATCATTTGTAATAAAAATTCTTATGATTATCAAATATGACTTAAATTTTACTTCCCAATTTAACGCCTCAAAATTGGGCCTGTACCTCTTTAAAAACTTGTGTTCTTTCTGAAACTCCGCCTTCAGGAAGTCATCATAATAGAGCTCCTCTATTAACCCTTTAATACATTTTTTTTTTCTCCTTCTTAAACCAGCACTCAGAAGCTCCTATAATGATTAACAGTTCTGCCAGGTGTTTGCTAATTGCTGCTGGCTAGTCTGGAGGAGCTGAGCAGGGGAGAAGCGGGCCATGGAGTCTGATGTAAACAGTGTTTTATAAGATAACTGATTAAGAATTGTTTTAAGCATGGCGTGCAAGTTTATTCTGTTTTACCTGCATTTTTCCTTTCTCTCTTTCCACTAGTCAATGTAAAATACTCCAAAGAACCTGTTAAATGTCAGTTTTCTCAAAAGGTAAATGCTAACCTACGGTATTTACTGAGGTTTAAGTCACCTTCAGTGCGACCACTTTCCTATAATAGCTGCCCTCTTTAACAACAGCTAACATTGTTATAAATTGACTTAAGATAGTTTAAAATAACTTCTTTATGTCAGTTTATGCTGGTATCCCAAAACACTAAATTAGATCCATCGCGATTAGTCACTGTGGTGACGATCGATGGACTAAGAATCAATAGTCCAAATGTTTAATAATTCAGGAAATTATTAAACATCATTTCTCTAAATAATGTTTTCTCTTCACTATAGTTGTGCTTTGTAACATGGTTGTTTGAACACATATCCAAATAATATCAACTTAGTCTGAAACTAATTTTAATTAGTTTAGAGCTAATTTGGCCTCATTTTCAAAAGTCTCCAATACAAACCTTGGTCTTCAAGCATGGATGTTCATATTAAACTGCGGTATTTCTATATAATTCTGAGTCACTTCATGTTTCATTCTTGCATGATTTTGGTGATGCTGTGTGACGAACCCACAGTATGTTAATCCGCAAACTAATCTGAATTTGTTGAGAATTATTTTGGTCTCGTTTCCAAATCCGAGGTTCTTAAAGAGAAGAGGCGTCAGATATGATGCCAAGTGAAACTTCTAAATTATTTTAAGATGTGCAGCATTTTCATTGTAACTGAAGTTAACAGTTGATGGCATGATTTTACAGCACAATGTGCCTGAAAGGTACGTCATAACAAATCTTTCATTGTAATGTTAAGTTATTTTTGCTGGTAATCTTGTATAATAGATATCAGTTAGTTGTTGTTTTTTTTCCCCCATGAATTTATAGCATACTCCTGTTCACAAATAAATAAATAAAATAAATTGCCAGTACTATGCTCATCTCTCCATCTATTATTTCAATGCCTAAACCTTTTCAAGCAGGATCACATAGACAATAGCAGACTAAACTATTTGGCTGCTATTTTCCTGACGATCAGGTGGTGGCCCCACTGGGCAATTTTGATCTAAATTACTAGTTTTGTTCATAATTACCCTCAACTATTGCTTAGTGATTCACAGCCAAGTCAGACTCATTGTTGCACAACACCCACCATGTTTACCCATTGGGTAGTAAGTTGTTTTCAGAAACATTTTGAATAAACCAGAAGCACAGTCAGATGCCACGTAAAGACTTTAATCAGAGGCACTGAAGGAAACCTGCAGGTTTGCTCGTTATTTCAGTCCAGCATCAACAGTTGCAAACAAGTCTAAATTTACGTCTTTTTTTTATTTTTATTTCTTTTAACTAAAGTAATTTGTTGAATACGACTGATGATTTCCCAGTTTGAAGTAAGGCTGTCAGGAAAATGTGCAGTTAAGTATTGTCATGACAAATGTAATCAGATATATTGTGCAGCTGTAGCTTTAAATACAGCCATCAAAATCTTCTAGACGTTTATGAAAATGACAACATAATGTTTCGTTCCAGTAAGTGAAAACATCCTTTTAAGATCATTGTGATTTAAATGTAAAACTTGAATGAATTACAAAGAAATACTTTGAGTGATACAAGTTATTGTCAAATTACATTTTCCTTAAAGCAATACAACAGTCAGCTCAAGTGGACGTTTTGACACCGGCATGCAAGTCGAGCGTTTTTTTTTTTTTTTTTTTTTTTTTTAAATCAAATTTACCAAAATTTTTTTTTCCAGTATTAATTAAATTTCATAATAATTACTTATGACATTTAGACAAAATATTAGAAGCTGTGTTACACAAACTTTCCCATTTTTCTCTACTTTCAACTAGTTAAAAACTAGTAGATAATGTACAAGAATGTTATTCTTAATTTGCCTAAACATATAATGAATCTATTCCAGCTGAACTGGGGATTTATAATTTAAAAAAAAAAAAAAACATTAGGATGTAACTAGGTAAAGCTTTCCAAAACAGCCTGTTCTGGTTTTATTCATTTTTAAACCAGAGAAAAATGCATTTTTCTTCTAACCCGACCTCATCAAAACCTGTTTGCTGGATTTTCTTCTGCAGAAAACTCTTAACAACAGCAATGAAAACCCGACAGCTTTATTATCTTTTTTTGAAGAACAGTGAGAGTTCAAGCTCACCTGGTGGATACCCAGGACTACCTGTTTGATAGAGGTTCGGAGTGTAGGTGGGAGCTGTGGCTGGATACCCTCCTGGATAGGCTGAGAGAGAGGAAGAACACAGGTGGAAAAGAAAAATGTTACAAAACCCCACCAAATAAGCACAGGGAACACCCAACACACATACGAACGAGTGTAGAACAAAGTATTTAGCTTGAAGCAGGATGTGCGCAGATGGCAGTCGTAAAAAAAAACCGAAAACATTTGCAACAATAACACAGTCGGCTGAATGTGTCTAACGTTCACCGATTAGGCAGACAAGGCACACCTGCCAATATGCTGTGGGAGGACATAAATTCAGAAACATTAGCAATGCATAAGGATGCACGTGAGGGGGGGGTAGACACACACTGCTGTGCGTCATAAATCACATGTCGGGCCGAGCAACAAAGATCCGACCTGATGAGTTTTCTGGGATGTAATGTGAAGCCGTGGAGAGAGATGGCAAGAAGCAACGACAGGAAGCACAACAAGCAACCTTCAAAATACAGTTGAATTGTAACTGATTTATGCAATTATTTGTGTTGCTTTAGCATCAACAGAAATTAATTAAGTGTAATTATCTTTGATTGAAGGGCATTAAATAGTTAACTAAATCAGACTGTTTTGTTGGAAGTGGAACTGACCTGGACAGCATCTCACTTGACTGGATGGTGTTGGAATGAGCTGGAAATGGTCTGGGGTGTCATTTATGTAAAATTGCCAAATTTGACTCTCTGGGCCTCACACATCTAGTGGATCGATTTGTCTTGTACACAAAATGCATTAGGATGTCTTTTAAACAGGTTTGCTAGAAATTTGTATAAACCCACGAGGCGCTTAAACTCAAAAAATGTCTACATGTTTACAGCATTTTTACTTTATGATTTAAAATTAAATTGAAAAAGGTGTAATATACATGTTGAAACATTTTAAAATTTAACAGGTTTTGACAGAGATGATCATGAACAACCATTGATAATAATGTGTGACATTCGTTAACTGATTGGTTGGTTGATCAATTGAAGATGGCATTAACTAAATTTAAAAAAAAAAATCTGTTGTGTATGTTGGAATGTTTTTTGATGATTAGTATAATTACTGGCAAATTAATTCTCATCCACAGCTTTAGAGCATTGGACTGGAAAACCATTTGCTAGTTTTTGCCCCAAGCTCAGAAATTTTCCATCTACATTTTGAGAAATCACCACAGTTAATGTCGAATATATTCCTTTGGAGTTGTGACACTTTGTCGATTCCAACTCGGCTCTTACTTTTAGCTGGGCCAGAGAAGAGATTCGGTTTTGTAAAGAACTAAAATTGGGCTCGTGAGGATCAACAACCAATCAAAATGTTGAGTGCCATGTTTAAAACTCTCAGGGTTTCTATCAGTTCAAATCTGTCCAATTAAAAAGACAAAACTACTAAACTATGACTTTAAACAAAATGCAGCAGAATAACATGAGCTCAATCTTTATATTATTCGCAGCATGCTACTATGTAGGTAACTCGCTCTATGGCAAAAAGCTGCACTGAAAAGTGCCGTTTCCAAATCCATTTTGTAAAACTTTCGACATTTTATCATCACCAGGTGCTTTAAATTATTCCACTATGGCTGGTCATTACAGGTCAGAGCTTCAGCTTTCAATCAGACCGTTTAATACAACACTAGTAAGCTGAGGTGGAGATATTAAAGTTCTTGTAGGGAAACTGAAACAAGTCATGTGATTTGTGTAAGAGGAGGTGTCTGGGTTTGTTACGCAGAACCAGTGAAGAACAAACTAGCAATCAGTGAAGCAACTTTGGTGGAAAACCCCCAAAGGATCGAAGAGGAGAGGCAACAAATATCCCAACATCCCCTTAACTAATTTGATAAAGACAAGACGTTAAGAAACGTAGATAAAACGTATCTGAAGAGGCTCAAACTGGAAAAAGCTTAAAGGAAACCCTCTACCATGACTGATCACAGATTGAAATCATAAAGCAAAGACAACACCTTAATTGTGTGTGAACTGTTTAGTAAATAGTGGAAAAACTTCATTGGATTAAAATAAAGTTTGCCAAAAAAGTAGGGGGGAAAAAGCTTTACGTCGCTACCCACTTCAATCAACTTTTATTCTTTTCACAATAATTAAAACCAGATCCTTGGGATCGTAGAGGAAAACTTGATGAAACACCAGACGGTTTTGATGACCTAGTTAAAAGCCAGAACTCCTCAGAATCTCGCTGAATTTAACTCGCGGAGTCTTTAGAGGTTTGGTGAAGACCTAAGTAAATAGTTCAGAGCGATGGTTTAATATGTGCAGCGATGCCTACCAAGGCTTAGGAAATGGAAAACAGTCTGCTTTTGTATCTTGTTCTATTGTATTCAATTTTCTGCCTGAATGGTCTGAGTGAAGGCTTGAGCCAGTCTCCATGTGTACAAAGGGAATGAATATTTGAGTCAATAACACCAAGATTGAGGGTTTAGAGAAACCTTGGAATGTGAAAATGTAATTCTGCTAGAAGACCAATGTAAAAATATAATAATGTGAATTATTTGTCCTTTGTATTTTTTGCAATTTCCCTTTTAAACAGGTAATAGAGGGATATAAAATGTCTTTTTAAAAGTACCGTTTGATTTCATTACATATTAATGGAAAAATACTTCAAGTAGTGGTCATAAATGACAACTTCGTAATATTTATTTAATCAAGAATGGGTTGCTGGGGGAATCTGACCAGCAAACGCATAGCTTGTCCATCATTCAGCATCATCTCTGCTGAAAAGACACCAGGACAGCTGTGGCTCATTAACTCTAATCAACACACACTAGACTGATCAGACTGCTGAGCACAGAGTTTCTTTAGTGTAAAAATATAGACTTGATACTCAACTTTCCAGAGTTCTCTGTTCATTATCTCCATTTTAAATTCTAAAATACTAGCATGAACAGTGGGCATGCTTTAAATGTGGAAGCTGGGGGCGAAAAATAAAAAAGAGGCTGAAACAAAGCAAGGAAGAATGAATGAAAAGAAGGAATTTAAAAAACAATAAGGAAGGAGAGAATGATAGGGAGAAAACGGAAAAGGTAGGAAACTGCAGCACGAGAAAGGAAATGAAGAATGGAAGGGTTAAAGGAAAGAAGTAAAAACGCCAAGAAAGAAAGAAAGAAAGAGTCAAGAAAGAACAGTGCAAGGATTGCAAATAGCTAGACTAATTAACCAGCTAACGGCTTGTTACAGCTTGTTGCAATAAACATTTAATTTGAAACGGTTTCAAAATTCAGTAAATAGACTTGAAGTTTTCGCCGTTTGTCTTTAGCTGAAGGAAATTGTAAAAAGAAAAAGAAAAAAAAAAAAAAACCACACCCACTTATGCACTCATGAAAGTTTTTACTCACTGTCAGCTATTTTATGTTCTCCTCCTGACGGTCCTTGTGCTGCTTAAGCTCTACATGTGTGCCCACATAATCGCAATCGACGTCAAAGTGATCAAAACGGTTCACTATTAGTCAAGGTTATCGTACCTAAAGTATCTCATATTTTGTGTGAAATACAGCTACCAGTTACCAGTCTAGGTACTGTTAAAATACCTAGACTGTTTACTTATTTGACCGTCTTGTAAACAGTTTGTGATTCTTTTTAAACATCTTATTCTGCTTTTGAAAATATAAATTATTCAGTGTAGAACAGACCCAGTCTGGCTCCAACTAGTCGTTTTGCAGCTTCCCTGTTTGACTCGATCTCACATGGCAAATTAAAAACCTGAATTCATCTCGTTTTACACACAGAGAAAAGGTGCTCTAAATCACATTTTAGGCTAATTTTAATTAACTGTGGGGGTTTATCAGGGTGAACCACGTACTGGCTTTGATAACAGAAAGTGAGCCCACAACAAAAGGAGGAAACGAAATAATTTCAATCAGCATAACTTGAACAGACTAGCTGAATACATACTAACCAGACCTAATGTTAAAAGTGACGCATGCACAGTAAATGGATGAATGACTCGTGTATACATTATAGATTGATGGACAGCCAAACAGACAAAAACAGAAACAGGTGGAAAGTATCTTTAGATAATAGGATACCCATTTTCAAATAGAACATAAAATGTGTTTAAAGGTGCAGTATTATATGTTTTCCACCTACAGTGCCATTTTATAGCACAATCAACTAATTATGTTACCTTCAGTTGTTATAGAAATGCTGTATATATCAAATATGATGTAATATCAAATACTGAGTTCAGCAGACGTGCAGCGTTTGCTAAATCCTGCTGGCTAGTCTGAAGGAGCTGGGAGTGGGAGCCGTGGGGAGGGGGTGCTCTGCGAGGAGGAGGCTTGGAAGCTGCAGCTCTCATTTGTGATGCGATATAAAGTCAATTTTACATTATACTGCCCCTTTACTCTAATTCTATACTTGTCTCCATTATATTCCAGACTGTATAAGAAGCCAGCACATAAGTGGATGCATGTCTCACCTGTGAAGGCCATGTTCTTGGGGTTTCCATAAGGAGTGCCAGGCTGAACAGGACTGTAGACTGGATTCATGGCTGAAGATAACCTGCTTTTACTAAGAAGAAACACAGGAGGGGAGGGGGAGGGAGGGAAGAGGGTTGAAATAGAAAAAGGAAAAACAGAAACAACACATGTAATTCATGTCAGTTGATGAAAAATGCACATATTGTTAACATTACATTCATCTAAGGGATTCGGCACAAAGAGGAAAAAAGAAAGATCTGAAAGTCATCAAGCCCTGTGAATCATCGCCCTGATGTAGGCTCAACGTAAGAATACACTCAGACTATTGAAATAACACGGAGCACAAGTACTGGCTGGAAAGCACAAGGAAGGTGTGGATTCATTGAGAACTAGCGTCTTCTGTGTGGTCTTGAAATGCACCACGCAGCCAGACTTTCACAACTGGAAGTCGGGGGGGGGGGGGGGAGGGGGACACCCTTTTATGGGTTTGGGGGGAAAAAACCGCCCCGGGGAGG